AATTGGAGCAATAATCTCTCAACTTGAACCCAACTGTAGCAATGGTCTTTCCAACATAACTCATTTTGACATAATTTTGACGGAGTTGATGAAAAAGACTATAACTACACATTTTGATGAATTGAGGGACCTATGGTAATGAATTTTTAGTTGAGAGACCATTGCTTCAATTTAATTAAAATTGAGGGACCATTGTTACAATTTACTTTTTTTTTATCACAAGAGACTGTAAAATTTAAACTTTTGACGTTTTTAATATTGTGAAGAGAAACTACTAAAGACCAAATAGTTAGCTTTGGGTACTGTTCCACTGCACGCTATTTACTTAGTATTATAAAGTGATTTTTACACACCTTTGGCTTCTGACATCTCTTTATATTTATGATCATCAAATTAAATAAATCAAATGGAATAAATGGTCAATGTTAAAGAATGATGTGTAAGAGGCTAAACAGGATATGTGAAAATCACTTCTCATACACTATAAATGAATCGTTTCAAGCAATCACGTTCATGTATAACAACCTACATTAAATAAAACAAAATAATCGAGACCCTTTTTGTTTTTATTAAAAGATTTTAAATGTAAAATTTGAGGATAACTACAAAATTTTTTTTATCAATATCATGAATGCATTCTATATGATTCGATTAATCAAAAAAGATGGAATAACTTTTGAGCACACCAAGACTTCTCATACACTCATCCAATATATAATAATCTTCTTTATATATAAAGCCAACAATCTCTTTTGGGGTCACAAGCTTCACCAAAAAATTTTGGACAAAAATACCTCCAAAACAAAAAAAATTCAAAAGCAACCCAAAATAATGCACCAAATAATGTAGGGTCATTTTTGTCATTTTAATAGTTTTTTAATAATTAATTCTTTTTGTCAGTTTTTTTTTAATTATCTAGTACCTCACAATAAGCTAGCAATAATGTGATTCAGTCAGTTGTTCATTAAATATTATTTTATCTATTTTTATACACGTTCAAAACATCTTAAGAGGCGTGTAATACTGGTTATAAAAATAGGTCTTTCACACGTGCATAATAATGTAATTAAATTAGTTGTCAAATGATTTTTTTTTTTTTTTTGAACAAACGATTTATCTACACTAAAGGTCTTTCATACGTGCATAACAATAAGCTAGCAATAATGTGATTCAATAAGTTGTTTATTAATTATCATTTTCTCTATTCTTAATGTAAATTCAATAGAATGTAGATGGAAATTGAAAGACCGATTTTATTATGTGAATTCAACTGCTTTTATTGTTTTGTGAGGGATTTTTTCTAGCATGATCTAAGATTATTTATTTACTTCAAATATTTGACTTTCCTTTTGTCAATTCACGCATATAAAAGACTAAATTATTTTTTCACCCTCTTTTGGTTAACAAAGTGAATTATGTTAGTAGGTAGTTTAGATAAGAAGTGTTCGGAATGAGGCATTCCTAAATATCAATGAGCTAGTTTGTGCGGAATCTAAATTTCTATCGTAATTGTTTGGAACATAATTTTTAAATCTCCTTCAATTCAATGTATAACATTAACAAAACACATTCATACGTTTCAATTCAAAATTTGTCTTAGGGAGAGAGCTCAACACAGTAACTTGCTATTGAAACTCTCACATGTCGCCCAAGCATTGCATTATTGTTAGGCTGTATAAATCCTATAATGCTATTGTGCTTGGTTTTGTGCCAAGTCTTCTGTTAACTCCAAATACTCAATGTATTTTTTTTAAGTCTCTTTCAAAGTCCTCATAGATCATTCTCTATCCATTATGTAGGTCATTGGTTCACATATCCAAATCACCTTAACCGATTCTCTAATCTTATTTTCAATTGCAACCACTCTTACTTTACCTCAGATATCTTCATTCTTAATCTTATCATTTCTTGTGTGCCCACACATCCAATGGAGCATTCTCATCTTCTCTACACTTATTTTTTGCATGTTGATTTTTGACCACCCAACATTCTGTGTCATAAAGCATTATGGGCCATATTGTCGTTTTATAAATTTTTACGTAAGCTTTAGTGGCATATGACGGTTTACAACACACCTAATGCATTCTTCCACTTCATTCATGCAGCTTATATTAGGGTTGGGCAAGGGTCGGGCCTAATTTTGCAGGAACCGAACTAGACTAGAGTTTAAAAGAAATGGGCTGGTCCGGGGCAGGTACAATAGATTTTAAAATAGAAATCTGACCTAACCCGACCCGTTTGAAACAAGTCGGTTTAGTCCGGGTACACAGGTCATTCTTTTTTATTTATTTATTTATTTTTAGCACAGATTGAACACAGCAGCTGCACTGGTGGTAGTGACGCACAGATCCAACTTCCTGGCCGGTTTTATCCCCTCCGACCTCCAGTACCTCGTTAACCTCGTTGTCCTCAAGAGTGGATTACCGTAGTGTGGCCCAATTCACAGAAGACACAAATAGCGTATATAGATCGAAAACGACCAAGCGAGGAGAGGGAGACAAATTAAAATCAAGGGTTTTAAAGTCAAAGTATCGCAACCAAACACTTGGTGGAGCAGCCATAAACGTTCAGTCGCAATAGCAAGCTAGACAGGTGAAGAAGAATGAGACTCGGGGCCGGAAGCCTAAGCCCAAGGAAGAGAAGAAAGAAGACCACCAACAGCAAGTCATTAGAGGGAGAGAGAGTCAGTCATCTTCTTGTTGGACATCCTCATCGCAGTCATCTTCTTGCCGTTTGCCCACCCCTATTATCACCTGTAAGAAAACCTCCATTTTAACCCACAAAACACAAAACCAGCACCAACCTATTTCACTTTTCACCAAAATTTCAAGTAAAAGTTACGAAATTTCGAGTGAAAACAAGGAACTATCTCGACCATCTCGACATTTCCAACGCTTTCGAAGATTCCAGTGAGCTGAGCACTATCGATACTGAAGGGAAGGTTACCCACAAGGAGTTTGGGTTTAGGGGAGGCTTCTTCGTCGTCACTGAGGACCTCTTTATCCTACTTTAACTCAGAAGAGATGGCGATTGAAGCAGCTTTGGGGGTGTAAAGGGCTAAGGTTTTGGGGGAGAGAGAATGAAGAGCAAGGGAAGCTGTGGAGGCAGTCGTTGTTGAGAGTGCCAATATATGGCAGAAGAAGTGGATATACTGAGTAATTATAAATAGGCCGATCCATGTACCCGTTTTTCTATACTTCTGGAACCGTCCCGCCCCTAAAATTTCAAAGCCCCATCGCCCCGCTCCATTTCTTTTTTTTTTTTTTAAATTAGGAACCGGCCCATACCCGCCCTGAACCTTGATTACCCGTCCTGACCCGTGATTCCTATACCCGTTTGCCCATCCCTAACTTGTATTCTATGGTTGAGATCTTTATCCAATTCATTCAGCAAGTTAGGTCCAAGATAATGAAAAGCATTCACTCTTTGGTACTTTCTGATCTCCAATCCTCACCCCTCTCTCATTTGAACCCCATTCCCATTGAAATTGCGTTGTATATAGTTTCTTTTTGACCTACTTAGGCGAAGACCTTTAGATTCCAACACGTCCTGCCAAAGGTTAAGCTTCACATTTGCTCCCTTTTGCGTTTCATATATCAGCACTATATCATTTGCGAAAAACATATACCAAAACCAAGGGATATCAAGCAATCACGAAATTTGATAACAAGCAATTCTAGCTTCGATTCATCCAAGAAAAAATTATAACTTCTATTTTCTTTTTAGAAACTGGTGATAATATTTGAGCTCAATTTATGATTTTTTTTTTCTATTCAATAAAGCAAAGCATAATTATTAAAATTTTAACCTAAGAAGTTTTGTTTTTGTTTTGTTTTTTTTTTAAGTTTCCAGGGAGGGGAAATTTTAATTGTTTACAATCTAAAGTGTACTTTATCCGATTCATAAAGAATTAGGTAAGTCAAATTACACCAACTAACCATATAACCTATATCGGTTGCCATTCAGAGCAACTAAAAGAAAGAAGTCATTCAATAAAATATCCCCTTTCTCCTTTAAACCCAAACCAAAAGCCCTAATTGTTCCAATTACAACATTCCTCAATGAATATTGATGATATTTACTGATTCACTACATAATTTTTGCTAGACCCCATTACAAATTTCGAACTTTTGAATTTTTTTTGAGAAAATTTTCTCTAATTTCCACCTAAATCCAAATGAATTGATATACCAATTCCATTGCAAATTTCCTAATTGTTCCAATTACAACATGCCTTTTTCAAACTTTTAAATACTAATTGAGACCGATGTACCCATAATATGAGTAAAAGTAAAGGGAAGTTCATGTGGAATCCACAAGTAGAAAGTTTACCTTCCCCGTTGGACATTGGGCCCCACCCCTCCTTGCGTCCCCTACCCATCGCACAGAGGTGGATTGTCTTCCTTCCCATTTTCATACTCTTCCCATGCCCTTCTGTTTGTGTGGTCATGGTTAAGCCACGTTAACATTTTATATTCCTATTACTTTTTGTTTTATTATTTCTATAAAAAAATTAATATAAAATGTTGACGTGGCTTAACCGTGACTACACATCACAGGAGGACATGAGAAGAGTGTGGAAATGGAAGGGCAGACAATCCACCTCCCCATCGGACGCGCACAACTCCTGTGACCTCTGACTCTCTGAAGTCTCTCTCCCCGCAAAAAACTTAAAAACATTAGAAAATTAGAAAACTAAAAGTAATTTTTTATAACACAATTATATATATATATATATAGATATAGATAATATTATTTGTTAAAAAAATTATAAAAATTTCCGTAATACAACAGTTATAATAAATTGATATTCAATTTTTTTTTAGCGAGATTTGAACGTAAAATCATTTGCTAAGAGAGAAAGATGTGACTAATTATAAAATAAAAATATTAATTAGATTTAAAAATTAGAAAAATACAAGAAAATCCCCACCATTTTCCAGCCAGGCTTTCACTGAGCTACAGCTACTGTACCAAATTCACTTTCTTTTTCTTTTCTTTTTTCTCTCTTTTCTTGGTTAGCATTTTCTCTCTCTACAGGTCCATAACGGGTGGTGTGTAAATATGTGTATGAGTTTCTCTATCTCTCTCTCTCTCTGCCAAAAAGTTGGATTCGATTGAGAAATGCTGATTGTTTTCCATTGATCGAATAAGGCATCGCTTCCAAGGCAAGCAAAAAAAGCTCAGCTATCTCTCTCTCTTCTTTCACTTTCTCTCACTGACTCACTTGCAGCAGCTTATCTCAGATCCGTCTCTCTGCGCCTTCAGAGACGATCTCTGTGATATAAAGCTCGCTTTCTCTCGACTTTTCTCCGTTTGGTGCATGCAATTCGCAATGCTCGTCTGATTGCGTTTACAGGTGAGGCTAAAAGCTTTGGAATTTTTTTATTTTTATATAAATGCTCTGTTTAGTTAATTGTGGTTTGGAAATTGGGAACTGAAAATAAGGGAGGTGTAATAAAATTATAAAACTGGGTTAAGAAAGTGTAATCAGCTGCAATTTTATGTGGGATTTTCTTTGTCTTTGTTTAATTTGTGTTTGGTTGCTGGGAAAATGAAGGAAAGTGGATAACATAGAGTTTTGGAATTTGCATTTAGTTTATATGTGGTGAGGTAAACTTAAACTAATTCAAGAAAGAGTTGGTTTTTCGTATCGACAATGCGAGTTACTTTACCCTCCATATGCCACAATCATCTTTGCCTTACAGTTTTCTTGGCAACCAAAAACAGTTTTAGAGGATGGTAACTAGTGGAAGTACTCAAAACTTGAACTTTCGACTTCATTTCGGTTGCTTTTTGAACGTTGAGGTCACTTCTGTGGCCAGAGTTATAGTGTGGCATCAGAACAAGCCTAAGAAAGTGTTAACATGTTGAAGAACTCAGAAGTTTAAGTTGTTGATTGATGCTGAAGTGGAATTTGTTGTCATTGTTTTGAAGGGGATTGACTTCCAGTGGTAATGGCGTCAAAATATGGATCAAAATCAAAAAAATTAGGTTCGAGCAGTTCAAAGGCTGCTAATTCCCCTGCATCTTCGACTACAACTTCTTCAAAACAATATTTGGAAACATCTATTGAATGCCAGAGTTCTCCTGCGTCTTCTTCAGCTCGAAGTAAGCCACAGTACTTGTACGTGGAAAGTTTACCGCAAGATGTGGAAAAATCCAAAGAAAACGTCACTGTGACGGTCCGCTTTCGTCCACTCAGGTTCATTTTCACTAGTATGAATTGTACTGTACTTGTATAGGTTTCATGAGTACTTAGTAAGTTGGCTGTTGGTTTTTGTCTTTGTCTGGTATAGCCCAAGGGAAATTCGCCAAGGAGAAGAAATTGCATGGTATGCAGATGGCGACACCATTTTGCGAAATGAGCATAATCCATCAATAGCTTATGCATATGGTATTTTTTTTACTTTCCTTCAAACAAATAATATTGCATTCTCATTATTTGATGCACTTGTGCGGAGGAAGAAAATAGTAAGCCTAAGCTTAATGATGTTGGGATACTTGAATTGAACTTGCAAAACAATACGTACATGTAAGTATGGATAGCTGATATTCATTGAGATCTCACTCACTTTGCTTCTTAGTTGTCCATATATAAAAACAAGTCCACACTTGGTAGAGAATATGATAACGGCTGTCGAACGTTACAAGTCAGTGCAGAGTTTACCCTTAATTCAATAGGAGTTTAAAGTTTCCTCTAAAGAAAGAATGTTCTACCTCCATATCTGGTTTAGTGGAATTTGTTTTATCAAATGCATCGATCATAAAGCTCAGATAAGTTCATTTTGGTTGAACTTGTTTTTTTTCACTTCATTGTTTGGTTCTAGATCGGGTATTCGGCCCTACAACCACAACGCGTCATGTCTATGATGTTGCTGCTCAGCATGTTATAAGTGGTGCTATGGAAGGCGTCAATGGTAAATTTCTTTGACTTCTTGGTTTGATGAACTTAAATTTCTAAAATGTTTTTAGCTTGATTATATGTCCAAAAAATCTTAACGGTACCTTGATCAGCATTTCCATTTTTTTTCCCGGTTATAAAAGACGGCAAATGCGTATGTGTTTTCCAACTAGTATGCAAACCAAAAATTGTTATCCAACTACAAAATAGAAGTTCTATTTTTCAGAATATGTTGTGTGAGTGGCAACCTGAATCACCGCTCTTGATGGCTAAATTTTGGATTAGTTTAGGGAAAATTGGATATATTCCCTTTGCTTTTGTTTCCTTTACATTATCAAGTTAATTAGAGCACCTAACTTTTGGTTGCAATTTCGATGATTGGTCCTGTAGACTGCCAGTTATGAAATGCATTTGACCATTTTGTGCTTTTCTCATTATATTTTTTTTGCATGGCAAGAAGTGATATAATCGTTGCATACATGAGGCGATGAAATTGTAAATCAATTTGGGAACTTGCAATTCTCACCTCAGTCATTCATTTCAACAACATTCCTAGGAATTCCAGCTTCCATCCTAAATTCTTCTTCACTAGGTTGCTGGATTCTGCTGGACGAGGCTATATGTTTGAGAGTTGATTGTTAACTCCCATTGGCTGAAGTATAGTTGTAATTTGGTCGTGTAGTGAATGAAGAAAGTAGAGAATCTTGGGACCTAATGGTCTGTTGCATTGGTAAAAGCTGGGACCAATAGTTTTTTGGTGAACTATCGGAATCATAAGATGATTAATCTTTTCCGGTTCTTGGCCTACAAAGTTTTGTTGACCATCTAGAAAATTTTTGGATCTTCTCTTCGTAAAGCTTTGTGAATCTGAGTAGAGAGCCTATTTGGCTGAACACTGAACACACCATCTCGATTCTGCCATCAATTTTGTTTCCTAGGTACCCAGTGCATTGCCTGTCAAGGCTGACAACTTCTGCCTGGCAAGGGTAACTGGGGCACTGGTGGTTTGGATAGTTTAAGCAACTTGTTGCTCAACCAATTAAAGTTATTTGCTGTTTGCACTAAAATTTAATTGAGTAAAACTCTTCTTGGTATTCAGATATATCTAAGTTGTAGATAAGGCATAATGTATTATTGTTTATTTAGCTTATGATTTCCTTCCATGACAGGTACAATATTTGCGTATGGGGTGACCAGCAGCGGGAAGACTCACACTATGCATGTGAGATAACCTATTTATTCTTACCATTTTATTCTACAGAGTATAACTGACTAACATGCATTGATCAGTCACCTCGATATCTCCATAATTTCTCATAGAAGTAACATTTATTCTGCTATGTAGTAGCATATAAGGTATTAATGTGCTTGGATCTATTATGATTGTCAATGTGCTTATATTGGTCCTACTAATTTCAGGGTGATCAAAGGTCGCCTGGAATTATACCACTGGCTGTGAAGGATGCTTTTAGCATCATCCAAGAGGTACTTTAAACGAGGTTCTAAGTTCTTTAGCTTTTCTTATTGGAGAAACTACATATTAAAATATTTGTCTATTCTCCAGACTCCAAATCGGGAGTATCTTCTTCGTGTGTCATACTTGGAAATCTATAATGAGGTAATTGTTCCCTTCCTATTTCTCTCCAGCTTACTTATGATGCTCTGATTCTATGGTTGTTGCTGTTTGTAGACCATTGTAAATTGAAGTTTTCTGGATGCAATGTTGAACTTTATACTTCAGTGGTGCTTCTTTTTTTATTTTTATTTTTTATTTTTTATTTTTATATCATTTAAGGTTTCTTTCATTTCAGGTTGTAAATGACTTGTTGAATCCAGCAGGACAGAATTTACGAATTAGAGAAGATGCCCAGGTGCTTTATTAGTTTTGCGATCTTTGTTTGAGTTGCAATTATCTTCATAAATTACTGTTCTGCAAATAAAGATGGTTGCTGTCAGTTTATAAAAATCTTCTGTCAAGTCATTACTCTTTCACGTTAAGAATTCTTGTTAATTGTTTAATTGATGGCTGTAGGGCACCTTTGTTGAAGGAATAAAGGAAGAAGTTGTACTGTCCCCAGCTCACGCCCTTTCACTTATAGCAGCTGGAGAAGGTACAAGAACATTGATCATATTCATATGTTGCGATTATGATGAATTTTTTTATTTTATTTTATTATTATAGTAAATCTTGTTTATTTGTTTAGTTGACCAGATGATATAGGTTTTTGTCATTTTAAATCGTGTTGTTTCTTTCATGAATCTTGTTTCACTTTGTGATTGAGTTTTCATTTTGCCAACAGAGCACAGGCATGTTGGCTCAACAAATTTCAATCTATTCAGTAGCAGGAGCCACACGATATTTACGCTGGTGAATATCTTAACATAGCATCTTGTAATCTTACATTTGATTTTTCTTTTAATGTTCCTTGACACTGACACACCTATTCATTGATTGATGGTAAATAGTGACATGAATTGTCCTACGTCTATAAGGTATTATAGTCTTAGGGTGTGTTTGTTTGGCCTCACTATCTTTCACTAGACTAGACTGGATTAGTTATCAGGGAAATACCGTGTTTGTTGCGTGCATGGACTAAAGTTAATGAGACTAAAGGGGATTCGCTCCGACTATCTCCCTCGCTAGGAGGTCTTAGCGATAGCGCCCCGCGACCATGGGACTGCTAAGCCCTTCGTCCGGTCTGTCCTCGTCTCCTCCTCGTCCACTCTCTGCTCTTTGTTTTCTTGAGCACCGACAGCCACCATCACATCACCACTCCCAACTTCAGCGAGATACACTTCTAGCCCAACACCACTCTCTCCCTCTCGCCTTGAACCCATAATTTCGAATGAGGAAGATCTCGCTGTCTCTGTCGTCTGTCTTGCTCTAGTAGTCCTCTGATTCACCTTCAAGGAATATCTCATTCTAGCACTCCTTGATTCAATTCCTCCGTGTTTCTGGAGGTTAATTCTTTGATTTCCTGTATTTTTTATTTTTGGGGGGGGGGGGGGGTGGTTTAATTTTGTTTGGTTGGTAGGAAAGCTGAGAAATTGGTTTCTATCGAGATCCAAGGAAAGCAAGCATCCTTGGCAATTTTTGGTAGAATTGCAGGGGAAGAAGAAACGAAATGAAAAGGCTTGAATTTGTTGCAGGCCATTGATGGACAAGAATTTTTTTTGGGAAATCGGTGATCAGGGATTTTTTTTTGGAGAAATTTGGAGATCATGCAGCTTATGGAACTCTCTAGATTGAGTCAATGAAAATATCTGCATAAAAAAGGTAATAAAATAATTAAAAAGTAGTAAAAAAAATATTTAGCTTCTAAAAATAATTTAATCCATGACTTAGTCCATACCAAGACAGTCCAACTTAGTCCCTTAAGCTAATCCAGTCCGAGATAGTCTGGTGCAACAAACACATCCTTAGAGGATTAAGTTGTTTTTCCAATTGGAGTTGCTTACCCAATTGGAGTTAGTTTCTCAATTGGAGAAAGATTCATAACTAGATTCCAATTAGGATTAATAATCCTTATTGAAGAAGATCTTTATTATGTCTATATAAAGGGGCTATTGTACTAGTTTTGGGAAGGGAGCAAAACAATAAATTGTATACCACTCAAGGGATTAGAGTGAGAGAATATTGTAAAGTGTGTGTGAGAGAAAAGAAAAGAGATAGTTGATTTCTTGTTCTTGTTCTTTCAGGTTTTTCGTCAATTCCTAGTTCTAGAGATTTGGCAAGATTATTGGTTGTACTCATTATTGATATGGTGAAAGATTGTTGTTGCTGTCCTGTGGACGTAGGCACATATTGCCGAACCACGTAAATTATTGGTGTTATTTATCTTGGTTATTTGTTTTCGATATCCGGAGTTTGTTCTATTTTTCCCATTCTTAAATGCGATATTCTCAACAAGTGGTATCAGAGCCAGGTTTGGTTGATATCCGTTTAGAATGGAGGGTGCAACTTGCTTTAATTGGGTTACGTGGAAATCAAGAGGAGGACATGCTTTACTGAAGTTGTTAAGAGCAAGCCAGCTAGTATGTCTGATGTTGATTGGACCAAGATGACGATAAGCGATGTTTTCTGGCAAAGAAGTCTATAATTGCCTTTGCCAATGATGATGGGTATTGCGATCAGGGGGAGCCTAGTCAAGAGAAGTTGTTAAGAGCAAGCCAGCAAGCATGTCTGATGTTGATTGGACCAAGATGGCAATAAGCGATGTTTTCTGGCAAAGAAGTCTATAATTGCCTTTGCCAATGACGATGGGTATTGCGATCAGGGGGAGCCTGGTCAAGAGAAGTCTAATCAAGAGGGTCTTGGTTAATGAGTAATTCGATCAAGAGGAGCTTGATTATGGGTAGTTTGATCAGGGGGAGTCTGGTCATGAAACGTTCGATCAATGGGAGTTTGGTCAAGAGGAGCAATCCTTTTTTTTTTTTTTTCGGTATACCTTCCTCATGGTCTGGAGGGGGAGATTGTTGGGTTTTTTTCCAGCCCATGATAAGTTGTCCTACGTCTATAAGGAATTATAGTCTTAGAGGATTAAGTTGTTTTCCCAATTGGAGTTGTTTTCCCAATTGGAGTTGCTTACCCAATTGGAGTTAGTTTCTCAATTGGAGAAAGATTCATAACTAGATTCCAATTAGGATTAATAATCCTTATTGAAGAAGACCTTTATTATGTCTATATAAAGGGGATATTGTACTAGTTTTGGGAAGGGAGCAAAGCAATAAATTGTATACCACTCAAGGGATTAGAGTGAGAGAATATTGTAAAGTGTGTGCGAGAGAAAAGAAAAGAGATAGTGTATTTCTTGTTCTTGTTCTTTCAGGTTTTCGTCAATTCCTAGTTCTAGAGATTTGGCAAGATTATTGGTTGTACTCATTATTGATATGGTGAAAGATTGTTGTTGCTGTCCTGTGGACGTAGGCACATATTGCCGAACCAAGTAAATTCTTGGTGTTATTTATCTTGGTTATTTGTTTTCGATTTCCGGAGTTTGTTCTATTTTTCGCATTCTTAAACGTGATATTCTCAAAATCTATTTGGACCATCAGTTTATTTATTTTGGCTCGATTGATGACTTTATATATTTGTATGACTACTTTGTCAACAGACAATAGAAAGTAGTCCATGTGGGGAAAATTGTGAAGGTGAAGCTGTAAGTCTGTCACAATTGGTATGTATTCAACACTACGGACTGATACCAATTACTTGTTTGTTATCTTCCTGGATTAATCGTAATCTATTCAGTATTTTTTGTATTCGATATTTAGGGTTTCTTATGAATCTATCATATCTAACTTATATATGCAGAACCTCATCGATCTGGCAGGTTCTGAGAGCTCGAAAGCTGAAACTACTGGTGTCAGACGGAAAGAAGGATCCTATATTAATAAAAGTTTGCTAACTCTAGGAACTGTGAGGCCTCAACATTGTTTTAAACCAAGAAGTCTGAAATATTTTTTAGATTGTCCTTCGAGTACTTCTAGTCATTGTTCATCTTACATGGTATACTTATTTCGGAGTATTTTTAACTTCTATTAGGTTATATCAAAGTTGACCGATATGAGGGCTACTCATATACCATACAGGGATTCTAAATTGACGAGACTTCTTCAATCTTCTCTAAGTGGACATGGGCGTGTATCTGTAAGGCTTCTCCTGTTGTTATGGTTTCACCTCTGTTCCACTTATCTGGATATTATTCCAATACATCTTTCTGGCAGAACCAATACTGCTAGCAAAGAAAGTTTTGCAATTGATTTATTTACTTATATTGTCCACTATTACAGCTCATCTGCACTGTTACTCCTTCATCAAGCAGTTCCGAAGAGACACATAATACATTGAAATTTGCACATCGGGCAAAACACATAGAAATTCAAGCAGCACAAAACAAGGTATGCTTGCTTTATCTCTTTTTTCTCAAACTGATTATGTTTTCCTTTGTTTCTCACCTCACATAATGTTTTGTACCCGCAGATTATTGATGAGAAGTCGCTCATTAAGAAATATCAAAATGAGATACGTAGTTTAAAGGAAGAGTTAGAAGAGTTGAAGAGGGGTATAGTCACAATTCCTCAACTAAAAGATGCTGGGGAAGATGATATTCTGCTACTTAAACAAAAGGTGCTTCCAAATTCCTCTACTGGATTGGTCTCAGGGTTATTTCTGGGTCCGCAACTATTTTTGTATTCTTGCTTTTGACGAAATCAAACTTGAATTAAATGCTAAAACATTACTAACTAGTTCAGAGCCAAAAGGAGCCGGACAAACTATATATTGAAGTGTGAGTGTTGACTGGTTTGGGATTTTGGTTTTGATTTTCTGTTAATTCTGGATTCTCTTAAATAACTGTTATGGATCAACTGTAAAGCCACCTTGGGCACCATCCTTGATAAATGGGTTCAATTCTCTGTATTATTGACAGACCTTTTGTCATTCGGTTGCTGCACAGTTTCCTCTAGTAAAATTGCATAAATATATTTCTGAATAGTCATTGTTGTGTGACTTGAACTGCTTCTTTTGCTGTGGCGTGATGTGTAAAGTTAGAAGATGGCAAATACAAACTGCAATCAAGATTGGAACAAGAAGAAGAAGCCAAAGCTGCTTTGTTGGGAAGAATCCAAAGGCTGACAAAATTGATTTTGGTCTCAACAAAAGGAACACAATCATCAAGGTTTTCTCACCGACCTGATGTTAGAAGAAGACATTCCTTTGGTGAAGAGGAGGTTGGACTGAGTTCTCCCATATTTTCTCTCTGCTAGATGAATAAACGAGTTTTGTTTTCTTATTTTCTTTGTGAAAATTACAGCTTGCATACCTACCATACAAAAGGCGGGACTTGATTTTGGATGATGAAAGCGTTGAATTGTTTGTTCCTCCTCTTGAGGGGAGTACTGAAATGACTGATGACACACTGAAGGGGGAGAAGAAGACTCGGAAGCATGGACTTCTAAACTGGTTAAAGATACGGGTATGTGCCATTTGCTTTGTAGAAATCTGTCGTCCTTTCTTAAGGTTGTATGTACATTTTTAAATCACGTTGATAAAAAAAAATCACCAATAGTAAATGTAGAAGATGCGGCATTTGACCTAGGTTTCATCATCCTTCCTGTCTCAGCTATTTTATCCAGTATCCAGAGTGACGTTTTGTTTCACTCATCTGTGGTTTCTACCTTTATCCAGTCATTAATAATGTTAATAATGTATAGAAGCTGCCTTGATTTTGAGCAATTGTCTAATGTGAAATTTAGGGTTGTTAGTATGGATGCTGAAGGTGTTTGTTCCAGTAGTTTTATATCTCGTACAGTGGGTGGTATTCTTGATGCTGATATAACTTACAGCTTTAGTAGCTTTATCTTGTTATTTCTTGGGCTTATTTTTCTGTTTCAGATTCTTTTATGTTCATAAATGCTGCTAATATCAACTGGTTCTCAAATTTCATGGGCAATCATAAACATGGAATTCTGGAAACATTGTTTTTCCTCCTTAGAGAAATGTAATTGTAAGAAAATCCCTTTGGTTTTCTGAATTTCCAATTATAAAATGAATGAACTAGGGACTCCTTGATATGGTCTGAACCTTCAGCTTTTCTGAAGGAACTGGTTACTCTAAAGAATCAAACTTTTTTGCTCCGTGTGCCTGACAGCCTAAAATGTCTATCATTGCAGCAGATTTTTTGTACTTTCTGTTGATTTATTTTCCATCTTGGTCAGAAACGTGATAGTGGTACAGGGACGTTGACAAGCACAAGTGATAGATCCAGTGGAATAAAATCTACTAGTACACCTTCAACACCTCAAGCAGAAAGTGGTAATTTTCATGTAGAATCCAGACTTTCACATTCAGCTCTTACAGAAAACTCTCCATCGGCTGATCTTTTGTCTGAGGCTAGAGAGGACAGAGAAGTTCGTCAGGAAAATTTCCTGGGACGAGAGGCACCTCTGGTATGTGAATGTTCTGCATAAAGGATGTTAACTTGTACTTGAGCCTGCATGCCCCCAATGAACATTTCTGCCATCTCTAGTATGATTGTATCAAATATTGCTCATTATGTCCATATATTAAGAGAAAGGACAGATGTAATGCAGGTTTTGAAGCTGTAGTGTTATTTAGAATTGCTAGGACATTAAACTGAACCTAAAAAAGAAAAAGAAATAAAGGCGAAAAAGAGTCAAAAGCATGTATTTTTGTTTCTAAGAAACAGCGTTTCATATTGAAATAATGTGGTTGGGAAATGGAAATGAACACTATTTCTGGCCAGAAAATTTGTCATGTGCTGTTTATGACATCATACTTTCCTTCCTGTGCCTGCAGATCATTTGAGCCATTTTGTGTCTTCTTTTATTATTTATTTATTTGAGCCTGAGTTTATTAAACATACAGGCTGATAACTTACTTGACGTATGTACTAAGTTACCAACTTACTAAGTATGGACCAAATGGTTAAATTTCCATGCTTCAACTAGTTTATTTCTCTATTTCTTGATTCATTCATTGCTCATTTATTTGTTTATCCTGTCAGACTAGCATGAAGTCAATTGATCGGATCGATCTTTTAAGGGAGCAGCGAAAAATCTTGTCTGATGAGGTAGCACTCCGTTCAAGTGCTCTGAAGCGGTTGTCCGAGGAGGCTTCAAGACACTCCGAGAAGGATGAAATTAAGATGGAGATGCGAAAGTTCAAAGATGAAATCAAGGTGAAGAATGAACAAATAGCTTTGGTGGAAAAGAAAATTGCAGAGTCCTTTTCACACAACAAAATGAGTCAACTGGAACCATCCCAAGTAAGTCCGGGATTCCTTACTGTTGTCAGCTGGTATCCTTTTCTTTTTCTTCCAAAAAAAAAAAAAAAAAAAAAAAAAAGGATTCCTTGCTGTTGTCAGCTGGTATCCTTTTCTTTTTCTTCCAACAAAAAAAAAAAAAAAAAAAAAAAAAAAAAAAAGTAAAAAAAAGGGTATGCCCTTATATCATAAGTTGTTTTCATTTTTGTTTAAACTCAAACCTTAAGTTGTTTCTGGTTTATGCTGCAGTCTATTGCTGAAGTGATGGAGCAATTGAATGAGAAGTCCTTTGAACTTGAGGTGATAAATAATAACTTTGTACATTTTGATATGAGAAAACATAGCACAGTAAATTCCGAACTATAAAATAGTTCATATGGAGCATCATGTAGGCCTTCTGCATGCGGAGTGTCATGTTGACTTTACAATCATTTAGATTTTTATTGTAAAACATTTTTTTTGATAATTAATGTTGCAGCCTAGGGACTAACATAATATGCCACTTGACACACCATAGAAGCATTTGAGTTCCATGGAATGTCCAAAAACCCCATCTTTCATTTATCCACTTGCATAGTTTTACTTCAGTTTCCAGTGTGCAAGACTTTTGGATGTCATGCAAATTGCAACTACAATATCGAAGAAATGGAGAAATGAAATGAAATTTTCGAAGGCCTCAACTCCAAGTCTATTCCGTTGACTGCTGTATCTTTTTTGTGCCAGGTTAAAGCTGCTGATAATCGTATCATCCAAGAACAGCTGGAACAAAAGGTACAGGAACTACTTTACCAAAATTTATTTGTTCTGTTCATCTTTAGACGAGACTTCAGAATTTAGAACCTCATATGACTTTATATTACGTTGTTACCAGATTGGTGAATGCAAAGGATTGCAGGAAACAGTTGCCTCCTTGAAGCAGCAGCTTTCTGACGCACTAGAGTTTAGAAATTTGAGCCCAGTAGTCACTTCTCGAACTGGTTCAAAAAATTTGCATGAGGAACTGGGCACAGAGAAAGATAATGTGATGTTGAATGACAAAAATGAAGTTTTCCTCCTACTGAAGCAGGTTTTTCTCCTCTTGTGGCTTCTAAGTATTTGTTTAGTTGGAAAATTCGAGTTTCGTATCCCAACAAAAGTACCACCGATGAATTTCATGAGCCTATTATGTCTCCATTTATTTATTTTTTAACTTTAGCAATTTTAACACTGTCAAGCAGCATCTTATTAAATTATTGTTTTTCAACCCTTAATTAGGTTGAAGAACTGAAGCAGAAGGTGGCTGAACTGACGGAGTCAAAGGAACAGTTAGAAGTTCGGAACAAGAAATTGGTGGAGGAGAGCTCGTACGCCAAAAGTCTAGCCTCAGCTGCTGCTGTTGAGCTCAAGGCATTATCAGAAGAAGTTTCCAAACTCATGAACCAAAATGAAAAACAAGCTGCTGAGCTAGCCGCATCTAAGAGCTCTCCAACTCTGCGTCGAAATAGTAGCACAATCCGAAATGGTCGGAGAGATAGTCACATCAAACAGGACCAAAGCGGGCTTATCTCAGAAATGAAGAGAGAACTGGCAGTGAGCAAGGAGAGAGAGCATTCATACGAGGCTGCTCTTACGGAGAAGGATAAAAGAGAGGCTGATCTTCAAAGAAGGGTTGAGGAATCCAAGCAAAGAGAAGCATACCTGGAAAATGAACTCGCCAACATGTGGGTTCTCGTGGCGAAATTAAAAAAATCCCACGGAACTGAAACTGATTCTTCGGACTCAACAAAAGAGACCCGACAAACTGATGGTTATGGGGGATGGTAGCGTGACGAGTGTTCAAGATGATCCGGCAAGATTGAGCTTTCGATGAAATTGGTTTGAGAGAGAGCTGTAAAAATGTGTGTTTTGTATGGTAAGGGCTTATTGTATGTGTATAATACAAGTTAGGGTTTTTTTGTCTTCTTTTTGGGGTTTCTTGACAAGGGGGTTATTGTTTGTTCGTAACGATTTAGGGCTTCTTTTCGAGTACACAGTGCCGATTCAAATGTATTCCACAAATACACAATCTGGGGTTCTCTATTTTTCACAGGTTAGTATTTGTTGATGCATTATATTGAAATATAATAATATTAGTTTAACATGCGGCCGGTCATGCAAAAAACAAAAAGCTCCTATTGTTATAAATTTTTTATTTAAGCGTGATTGTGTAAATTTTAGATTAGATTTGATTCTAGTTATTCTTCCCTATGAAGACTTGTATTCCTTAGAGGAGAAGGACTTTTTCTCCACCTTGTTACTATAAATAAATGCACTGCGTAGGGAAAATAACACATCCTTTATACAACTCTACAAACACATTTCTTTCTATATTTTCTTTGTGCCGCCGCCCCTTCTCCTTGCCAGTTAAATATAGGCCACAATACGTTATCAACACGCTCCTACCGTTGCGCTTAGGAATTTGACGCAAAAATTATTCGTCTTCAATTAGGGGAGTATGACATTTCAATTATTTTTAATTGATTAAATTTTGATTTTATTGATTCAATTTAATTTTTTTTTGTGTTGAACGTGATACAAGCTTTGGAGATGGAAAGCTGAAATTGAAGAAAAATTTTCTGCATCAAACCAGTTCATCAATATCATCACGCAATCAGGTTATTTCAAAACAACGGTTTTTATCTTTATATTTTTGTAGCCGTGATAGCATGAGAATTCATCATAATGCATGACTCAACTTTACGTTTTTTTTTTCAAATTTTAAATTTTACATAAATTGTGTATGCATTATATCCATAATTGTTGAATTATGTGATATTGCCATGAATTGCATCAAATATATGTCCATGCATTGAATTATTTAATTGAATATGCATTGAATTAATTTGGAAATTGAAAAAAAAAATATAATTTTTTTTAAGGGTTTGTCGAATTCAAAACTCAAGCTCACGTGAGCCTTCTTGAGCTGCAATGCACCGGAGCAAAACCCCCAATGCTCCATCTGAGAAGACGACATCGTTTCGACATTGAACCCACGAACCCAGCTGCCACCTGCAGTAGGCCACGACTTCACCGCCGTCTTTCTGGGACATCATAACCTACAATCATGTTTTTGGGACCCAACCATCGTCGGGGACAATTGGTTTCTCGAAAAATCTGATGGCCATTGGTAAATTTTTGAAGGATTCTTTGAATCTGCACGGTTTCTTCGATTTGATTCCCACACCCAGCGCCGCTAGGGTGTTCTGGATTTCTCGACCTAAGCCCCAGTAGGCCTTGAACTCTCGGACCTGAATCGCATAGCACCATTTTTTGGACTGCTAGTTGTCTTTGCTGCCACGACCTAAATCTAAACAGCTTATTGGGCTGAACTGGACCCTTGGCCCGCAAACGACACCAGCCTAATTGGGCTTTGTTGTCCTATGCATGACGCCGCACATGATCCCAGCTCACTGCTGGAGAATCGGTGCACTGCACCGCGTCACACCCAATCTATGCCTATCTGGGCCTCTGGTATATTGGGCTTGCATCCTCTATCTATTTACCCTAGCCTAATTCTTGGGCTTAGGCCGTACGGTTTAAACATTTTTAGCCCACCCATGGGCTTTGACCCATGTTTTTAGGCCCCGAGCTTAATTGTTTATTTATTTTTAGACAATTTGTGTTTTATAATTTTTCACCCACACTTTAATTTTAGCCCGAAGTCCAAATAATTAATTCAATTATTATCAAGATCTGAAGATCTATTTGCATATTTCCTTGTTGCATATATATATATTTGTGTTTGTCTGCAGGAACATATGAACCTAAAGTTATAATTATTTCGAAACCTGAAGTTCCTAGAAACATGCCTTGTTTGAAAACCTGACGTTCTCCTTAAAAACATCACCCATGAAAACCCGAAGCTTTTTCATGTAAATTTAAACCAATACATGTCTATTAGAACCTGTATGTTCTACTCCTATGTGAATGGATTGAATTTTTTTTCATTACACTAACCGCATCTTGTCCATTTATTTTGTGATAGGAACATGTCGAATTTAAACAAACTCGACTTCACAGCTTTGGAGGTCCCAGGAAGAAACTACCTCAAGTGGTTCCAAGATGTGAAGCTCCACCTCACCATAAAGAATTTATGTCAAGCCATTGAAGATGAGACGGACAACCCGGTTGGTGAAGCTGAGAAAGCCATTGCCATGATCTTCATCCGAAGACACATTCATGATGCACTGCAAACTGAGTACCTTGTTGAGGAAGATCCATGAGCACTCTAGGTCCATTGAAGATGAGACGGACAACCTGGTTGGCGAAGCTGAGAAAGCCACTGCCATGATCTTCATCCGAAGACACATTCATGATGTACTGTAAACCAAGTACCTTGCTGAGGAAGATCCATGAGCACTCTGTCGCTTTGGCTGATTGTTTTGATCACCAAAAGGACATCTTATTCCCTGAAGCAAGACATGACTAACAACATTTGTGCTTCTAAGACTTTAAGTCTGTGAATGAATATAATTTTGAAGTTTGTCGAATCTGATCACTTCTCAAGTTCTATAATTAGACCTTGATCGAAGAGAATCTCCTGGAGAACCTATTCGACCTTATCTGCTACTAATATTGTCCTGCAGTAGCAATATAGGGCTTATAAGTTCACTAAGTTTTCAGATTCGATCTCTGTTTTACTTCTTGCTAAAAAGTATAATCATCTGTTGATGAAAAATTATCAAGCTCGACCTACTAGGGTTACTGTTATGCCTGAAGCACATTATAGCACAAACCAATGCCCAAAACTCCTACATAGGCGTGGTAGGGGCGACTAGAAGCCACCCCATCAAGGTTAATAGAGCCAAGGCCCACCTAAAGGAGGAAACCTAGCCCAGAAGGGCCCCAACCTCGCTCTCAAGACCCTAAACTTCAAGAATAAGGGCAAAGCACCTGAAACCATGGATGTGGACATATGCTACCACTGTGGTTCAAAGGACCATTGGTACCATATTTGCCATGCTCCCCAGAAGGTTGGAGTTAAATATCATTCTCGTCGTAAGAAGTTTGAATCAAACTTTGTGTAAATGAACGAATCGAAAAGTACCAAGATGGTGGTTTTTGACTTTCAGGAGGATACTAACCCTATGGAAGATTAGAATCTTAGACATGAACTATTTTTAGTTGAATTTAGAACCCTTGGGGTCGAATTCCACCTAGTGGCTGAACCCCTCCTTGTTTTTGGTTTAGTTTTGAACAATTTCCTTTATATTTTGATTATTTGTTGGTGATCTATTTTTGGATATTAAGTTTTTATTAATTACCATCCTTGAATACTTAAATTATTTTGAATGGATATTTGTTTTTAGAACTTTTATGCATGTGACCGATTCAAATTAATTTTTATTTCTAGGTATGACTAGTGGGAAAGTTAGTTGTTTGGCAGATAATGCAACCACGCACACCATTTTGTGTGAACGCATCTATTTCACTAACTTTATACCTAAGAATGCATATTTGACAGCCTTCCCAGGACCATCCAACCTGATTGAAGGATATGGTAAGGCACATATAATGTTGTCCATGGTACAATTTTGACCATTGATGAGGCACTCTGTTCTTCGCGTTCCGAAAGAACGTTGCTAAGTTTCAAAGACATTACAGATAATAATTACCACGTTGAAACCTATGTAGAAAACGAAGTTGAATTTTTGTGCATCACTTCCTATGAATATGGCCAAAAACTTATTCTAGAGAAGATGAAGCGTATCACGAGTGGTCTGTATACTACAACCATACGTCCTATAGAGAGCCACTATATGGCTGGCTCTACCTCTGGGACCGCGAACAAAATTACACTTTGACATGATCATTTAGGACACCTTGGACAAACAGGGATGTGCCGTATCCTCAAATCTTCGCACAGACATCCACTAACTGGAAGTTTAGGTTTGATTCAAGGAATCGCATATCAAACCTGTTCTATGGGAACACTTACTAGTAAGCCTTCTTATAACAAGATTCACTCGAATCCTCCTATTTTTTCTACAAAGGATTCAGGGGGACATTTGTGGACCGATTCAACCTTCCTGCGGACCATTTAGATATTTTATGATTTTGGTTGACACTTCCACATGTTGGTCACACGTGTGCTTGTTGTCCCCAAGGAACGCTGTATTCTCCAAACTGTTGGCTCGGGTTATCAAGCTCAGGGTTTACCACCCTGATAATCTGATCAAATCTATTCGATTAGATAATGCTGGAGAATTCACATCTAAAACTTTTGATGATTATTGGATGTCGGTTGGGGTTGAAGTTGAACATCCAGTACCCTAAGTTCATACCCAGAACGGCCTGGTAGAGGCATTCATTAAGCGTTTACAAATAATTGCTCGATCGGTGGTAATACTTACCAAGCTCCCGATCGCTGCTTGGGGCTTACGATATTGCATGCAGCCATGTTGGTCCGTATGAGGCTTATTGCGACCCAACCATATAGAGCCCTTTAGGTTGTTACCAGATAAGAACCCGACATGTCACATTTGCACATTTTTGGTTGCGCGGTCTATGTGCTGATTTCGCCGCCCTTACATACAAAAATGGGCCCTCAGTGAAGGATAGGAAACTATGTTAGATATGATTCTCATTCAATCATTCGTTACTTAGAACCTTTGACAGGCGATCTGTTTACCACTCGTTTCGCAGATTATCGCTTCTATGAGATAGTCTTCCCATTGTTAGGGGAGATAAAAATGTCAATGTTCCTGAAGAACGACGCAAATTATCGTAAACGACTCCCACTTTATCTCATTTAGATTCCCACACTACTCAGTCTAAGATTGAAGTACAACACATATTAGATCTTAAGAGCGTAGCTCAGAGCATGCCAACTGTTTTCACTAGTCTAGCACAAGTGACAAAATCACATATTCCAGCTGCGAATGTGCCTGCAAAGATGGATGTACCAAATGTATGACAGACTTTCTTCCTGGAGGCCCAAGACGCCACTTTGGCCAATCCACGTACATTAGCGGCTAGCCAATCATTTGTGCCTACACAAAAGCGTGGCAAATCTCTTGGTTCAAAGGATTCACACCCCGAAAGAGGAAACCTACAACACAGGCCCCTGAAGAGCCAATCATGGATCCGACTGTTGTCT